CGAGACGCGTCTGGGCTGTCTGCTGCCCGCGTGTTCCGCCGCTTTGCTTCCTCTCCCTGGTCTGCTGGAGACCAGAGAGAGGGAGGGCCCCGTTCGTAACTGCGGATCCGACTTAAGTCGGATCCGCGTAACTCGGGGACTGCCTGTATACTAATATATGTGGATTGGTTTTCTGTTTGGCTTCTAGTCTGAAATATCTATTTCTCTTTTGTGATACTTGGGCATCTCAAACCCAGAGAATAAGGCTACTACCAAATTGATGCCTTTGCTCTACGCCTTAAGCTCTGTTACTTTTCTTTCATGTAAATGTAGTTATTCCTTTATATATGTCTTGGTTATGCAGTGATATTGGGAGGAAAAGATGACATTAGGAAGAAATCTGATCTCTGCTTGTTCACCACATGAAAAGCCTTTTCTCACAATGGCCACCAGAGGGAAGCTGGCTGAGACCTCCTGTGACTTGTGTATTCCACATATTCATGACTATGGTCTTAGACTTGAAAGTTACAAGTCTCTTTTTGTTCAGGTGCCTGGATTTTGTGATGAGGGACTTCATACCCGACTACCACACATAAATGGCTTTGTCAACTGCGATGTAATGGTTGGATACAGGGCTGTCTATCGAATCAGCTTTGCCATGGCAGTGTTTTTCTTCATTTTCTCTCTTCTTATGCTACAAGTAAAAACAAGTAAAGATCCAAGAGCCTCAGTGCACAATGGGTATGTAGGCATTGTATTAACTTGCCTGTTAAAGTACTTTATCTGTTTCTTACCAGCTTCTTCCCTAGAGAGACCGATTCCTTAAGTATATATAGATGAATAGCCTGGACTGAGTCCTCCAGTTCCTTTGCTGGTTGCTTAGCACTGAAAGCGCATAGGTAACTAAGATCCCTAGAAGGCCTCTTACTTGTACTGCAGTTCTAAAGTACTAATAATCAGCAGCTGAAACATTATGCCTTGAAATCCCCTAACTCATCTGTTCTGTCACTTTCCTGTATGGACATAGTTCTCTGGAGTCTGGTGTTCATTTAAAACTGCCATCTTCATGTTTAAAAAGGGAGGTAAAGATGATGTGAATAGGGATGTGAAAGGGGGCTAGAGTAAATCCCTCACCTCTCGTGGACAGGGGGCTACTCCAGGGGCCACAGGGGACTCGCCACAGACCAGGGCTTCTCTAGTCATCCAGAGCAGCCACTGCCAATAGTCGGGGGTGGGGGGGAGGACGGTTGCTCCAGCCCCCCTATCTGTGCCCACATTAATTGGTGAAACATAATGTTTAACTGGTTAACCAAGTAAACAGGATTTGACATCCGTAGAATGTAAAGGGAGACTTGACAACAATGTTTTAGGATAAATCTAATTTAAAAAAAAAGGTTAAAATAACTGAGCCTTTGTTAAATGTCTACTTCTTTAACATTCTCTCCCAGCTAAAGTGCTGAATAGTGTTCTCCAACTATTCAATTGGGAAATGTTATAGATATTATTTCATCACCCAGAACCCATTTCTGTGGATATGTACCCTCTCTGAGCATGAGAATGTTTCAAAAGACCACTCTTATATGGCAGTCGCCAGTGTGAGAAGACCATCCAAGTATCCCCAAATAGACTGCATGCAATTCTGCTCCACCTTTTAGACAATCACTTTTGTTAATCAGCAATTTTTTTGTTCAATTAAAACACAATTTGTTTTATAGATAAGACCTACGCTGTCAAACATGGTTGTTTTTTATTTTAAAAAGGTTCTGGTTCTTCAAAATAGCTGCCATAGTTGGTCTCATGGTTGGAGCTTTTTACATTCCTGAAGGGCCTTTCACAACAGGTAAAGTCAATATATGGTAATGGAATTTCTTTTGAAAATAGAAGCCTTTTCATGAATTACCATGAAATAGTAGGTGCATCCCAAGGTATGATAGAATACACACAGCGCAACCCTATTTCCCTGGTAATTAGGAAAGTGATGAGACAAGCAGTACATGTTGTGAGGCATAGCTGCTGTGTTGGTTTTTAGATAAATGGGGTCAAGCTCCATATTTATAGTTACCTTACTTACCAAAATAATGAGTTTTGTATGACAAGTTCTTCATTTCTGTTCTGTCACTTTTTT